CGACGACGACGACAGGGAGAGATGGGACACAAAAAGATCGAGATGTTCGGATTTCCATTGTATGAGCCTTGCTACGAACGATATCCCTTTGCCATGAACGAGCATCCGCCGCGCACACTGAAACGGAGATATCCTGTAGGCAGGTCATTTATTCATTAATAGGAGGTCTTGGTAACCACGATGGAGATGCCTCTGCAAAGTAAAGGTGAATGAATTTCAGGAATGTCATCAAGGTATGTCAATGGACTTTACTAGTAATTAACGTGTCGTGCGGTGTTTTAAAAACAAGAAACGAGAATACAATGTATATGACTCTCGCCATACGCCCCCAAGTGACATGCCGACATGAGCGAAAGCATCGTATGCCCAACGTGACCAGTCCAGCGCCAACTCGCGGACGATCGAATGAGTTATCTGATGCACCTGCAGTGTGTCGGCTTTTTTTGCCGTTTATCGTGGTGTCGCCCGCGCTAAGAAGTTCCGCAAGGGGCTCGTGGGCAAGGAAAACATTGAGAACGTCGGTCTCGCCATGAATATCAGGCAAAGCATCAAGACGAACGAAATCCACTGGATGTACTTGATCGGGAAAGCCAGGGGGTCGGACTGCATCATTGACGACGACATAATGAACACCACGGGGCCGATTTGCAAGGCAGCGCAGCGCCTATCCGACCACGGAGCGCGCAACGAGTACGTGTGTGCATCGCATGGTTTGTTCAATGGCCCCGCGAACGAGCGCATCCACGAGCGTAGAATCGATCAACTCCATATCTGCAGCGATAACCCGAACTCCATTGTGGATGATTCGCGCATCAGCTCTTTGGGCACTTTGACACAACGAACGCCCCGACCTTCTGGTCCTGACCTATGCCCTGTGACGGCAGCAGCCGCATCCGCCACAACCACATAGTTGTTATGTCACGGCAAATACTACTTATCAAACGCTACGTCTTCGTGTGTCCTAAACAAACTACTTGCGTGGACACTCCGCATAGGGAAAATCGACGTTATTTCGTTTGCAAAAGCCCACACGTCCCACCATACGAACAGAGTGACACTACGTTTGGTAGGCCTTCGTATCGGTCAACCGCAGTCGCACCACGACCTGTGGAGCATCATCGCGGCGGTTCGAGCAAACGAGGGATAGATATTTGTCCGCAGTACCGTCGGCGAGGACGTTTTCATTATTCTTAGAGCATGTGCTGGTGTGGTTGACGAGGAAAACCAATTATAGGATTGTGTTTTTGCTGGGAGTCGGGAGTTCATCGCCCTCGCTGTGGGCAGCTTTCGTCTCTTTCCAAATTGCCCCAACTGCCTCCCACGACAGGTTTGCACCTTCCAGATATCACATCAAACAGAGTGCATGGTGCATTTTTCTGGCGTAGGGATGTTAATGTTCGTAGATGTCGCCATGGTGCTCCTACAAGTGCCATGTTGTGCACCTTCCGATACTTTGTGCAGGTCGTGTGATTATCTTAGCTCGTCCTTGCAATGCAATTACTTTCTTGGGTGTATTCTTCGGTGCAGTCGGACCCTCATTCGGCTGCGACTTGGGTGTCGGCCCGCGATGGTCTGCGGCTCGGGCCCATTGAAAAACTGCCGTGGCAACTCGCTCGGCAAAATCAGCCGCAGAAAATTTAGTTCATCCTGATCTGCACCCCCATTTTGATACGAGACAAACCTGTCACTAGTACGAAATTTTATATTCTCTGGGTTATATAATTTGGAGATTGTCAACTGTTGGAATCGTACAGGCAATAATTATTGATAACATTGATATTAAATTGCGCTATACATATTTGGATGACAGGGGTCATTAGAAGGAAAGAATACTTGCAACATTTGATGATTTCTGTCTAACTGTAAATTGTATTATTTGCTCTGTTCCAAAGGGGGGGATCAGCTTTGCAGAGTTTTGAGGACTTCTGCCTCCTCAAGTTCGACACTGTCTACTACCTGTGTCCAATTAACAGT